AATATGCATAGGCGCTTCACTTTTCCCGCCGGCAACTTCATTATATCGTGTTGTGACACGAACCGTCAACCTGGACTTATTCGTAGTCGTAAATTCTGTCCACTCCGCAGATGTTCGTTCGCCCTCACGTGCGTCATCCCACGCTTTCGTCTTCAGTCTGCCTGCCGCTATCTTATGGCAGTAAATATCCCGTATCACACAGAATAATTACCTGTTGTTTATGCATATTCGCGTGGGGTTTGCAACACTTTTTGTGGCTCCGATGCTAAGCCGCGTGGGTTGGCACCACGCGCCTTCCTGGCAATTAATGTGTCATCAGGGTAAGGCCCGGCATCACGTGTGAGATTCAGTGCACGTGAACGTACTAATGCTCTTAATCCGTAGCTCCTGGCCTTTCCATTACAAACACAGGGCAAGCCTAACGTCTAGGCCTGGGACCTGTTTAATTACATTCAAATTATGGGGGTGAGAGTTCATCGCCGAGCTCCTGTGAAGTTGCTCAGCTGAGCAGCCACTGCACGACTCGCCCAGTCCGGCCTGAAATTTTCCAGTCGATGGAATTAAGTTTTTTACAGATCTCGACTGTGATACGATGATGTACGTTTGTATCAATCCGCGATTTATTGAAATAACCCACGACCACTTCCCTTTCTCGATCATGTAGTCTCGCAGTCGTCAGTAGCAGTGCAGTTAGATGGTATAGCAGTGAGCCTGACTCCCGGAAACGCGAAATACAGCGGATCGTGTTACTCTTTTATTGTCTCGTTTTGTCTCTCGGGTCTTCCTTGTGCTCGTTTGTTGACTGTTCCGTATAAATTCTTCTGAAAACAAACCCTTGTCTTGTTTCTTTGTCCCATGTGACTCTTTTGTCGGTGCCTTGAGAACGCACGTCAATTTGTGTCCAAATTGTATTGTTAGAGTAATGGCGTTCAGTTAACTCACACGTTTTAATTATAAACATTTAAACTTCAGTAAATATTTCTTACATTAATTCTTGTACCTATGTATACACACGATTCCGTTGGGTTGACCATCATCTTAGACGTGGTGGGTAAAAGAGAGTCTCATCTGCGTTGTTGCAACTCGAAAAGACATGCTTAATACGTCACAGAAGTTAAAGTAGGCGCTGCATTAGGCGTAACTACTCTGTGACCGAGAACGATCGACAATCGAAAGTCGAATTTGCTCCGAACCGGAAACAGCCTGTTCAGTTCAGTTCCGTGAGTACGCTGGCCTGAGGATTGTGTGGTGCATGTGATGTGGTTTAAGTGTCCTAAATTGTGAAATAATAAGCGTTTATGTGCGTTGGAACAATTGTAGTTGTAATATAAACCAAACGCAGTCAAGATCCAGCCACAAACACAGTGGACAATTGGGAATGATTTGTCAGGTAAGTCAAGCCAAGTAACTGTTTTCAATAGTGACGTTCATTAATTTGGAACAGCCAGCCGGCTTAAAACATTAGCAGTATAATGTGTTTTACTAGAGATCTAATGAGCTATAAACAGTTTCAAATATATACATACGACTGTGGGTTAGTTTGCAAAACACGGCCGCTTTGACGTGAGACAAGCAAGGTGCTCCGCTTGATAGTACAGTAGTTTGTTTGGGGTTAGTGTCAGCAGTAAACATGACATGACATGACATGACCCATTGTCGTCAAATGTATTTAGGTTTAGTTCACAGTAAGTTTGGTGAAAAATGTAGGAAGATACTTTTAATATACAGGATTGTAATTCGGTTGTTCCAAGTGGCCAGTCTTTTTAGAAAATTGCGTTGTGATTGTTGTGAATACCAGTAAGCGGAATTTGGAACTTATGTCAGTCCCTCACAACCTGGAAGCAGAATTATTTACGTTCAGAGCCAGGTTTTATTTCTGTATTGCATCCAAAGTCACTGACTCACAAAGTAACTACTTGATTTGGAAGTAAGCGATACTAAAAATTGGAGCTTACGGCTTTGTCTAAATCTATCTTCGGACTGACTCCCGAAGATTCCAGAATTTTCTGACATTCATTTGCTCCTGGAATTAGATTTCCCGTTAGTTATTACGACATGTAATTTTATTAGTTGCTTTAAAAAAGTTGTTTTGTTTAATTGGTTAGGTTAGGTTAGCCAAATAGTTTAACTAACTAAATGGGTCAGCTGGCTGTTTCACTAGCTTTGTTAGTTAGTTAGTTGGTACTTAGTCTGCAGTTCGTCACTTTGATAGCCCATTTTGTTGATGGAATATTAATTATTAAATTTAAGTAGCTAATTGCACTTAACCTGACTACATGCTTCTCCAGCAATTCTCCTTGACCAAAGAACTTCATCATAATCTCCCATCAGCCTTTGCGAAAGCAATCTGCAGGAACATTGCCATACTGAAAACGAATTGCACTTCTCTCTGTAACTTTTCCCGCCTTTAATGCCCAATTTATTGCACTGATCCATATTCTGCAGGCCTTATCTTGTACGTCACACACTGTAATGCAGCTGTACCATTTTTTATGGCACAATTCTAGCGTTTTCATGACCGCCGTGCATTAAACAAACTGAATTGTTGTAAATTTAGACGCGAGGTCCAGGAGCGCCCTGTCACGCCAGAACGCGTCTCTTAGCAGCGGTACTTAACATTTAGCCTTAAGCTCGTAGCGTAGCGGAATTGCGAGTGCGACCTCTGTTATCAGGAAGTATAACCTTGAAGGGGCTTGACGGGCGCCTGGCTAA